CTCCCTGCCACGGGCACAGCACCTCCTCTGCCCTGCCTCGCTGCTGGGCCGTGGGAAAGCAGGTGTCCTCAGGGATGTGCTTGGAGAACAGAAGGTGTAAAACACATCACCTTTGTGTCAGTCCAGGGTGAGGCAGGGAAGTGAATCCCCTCTGCCTGGGCAAAGCAGCTCAGCCAGAGGCAGTAGGGCAGTGCCTGGTGGGAAGGAAGTGCTGAGCAGGTCAGACACCTGCAGCAGGATGGAGACAGAACACCTGAAGCAGTCATCCACGTATTCTACAGGCCTAAAGAACCTGCTTGCTTCTGCCTGCACACGGCCATGCAGCTGTGCTCCAGAGGTGGAATGTGCTGCTGAAGGCAAAACAGCACTTGTTATCCTGGGGGAAGGAAGAAATTCCCTTCTAACACACCAAGTTGGAGTGGGGTAGTCCAGCTGTGGTGATACAGTTATGTGACAGATGAGCAAGAGAAGGAGACCAGACACTGTGGTGTTACTGGGAGTAAAAGAAACCTAAAGAGCAAAAAGAAGAAAACAGCAAGACAGACAGACAACCCCCAAAACAAGGAGATGGCACAGAGAATTTAAATGGGCTGTAAAGAAGCAAGGGAGAAGCACAAGACATTACCAGGAAAGGTTGAAGCAGAAGATGAGAGCAGTCAACTTGCCAAAGTGATGGAAAACCACATGACATCCCAGGCTGTGCCTATCAATTATGGGCTTCAAAGGCATTCTCTGCCTGGAGAAACATGACCAGCACTGACTCACAGTGTGGTTTCATTGCCAACAGCCAATCTCAGCTCCCCAGGGGCTCTTGCTGCCTGGTGATTGTGGCTAGGCAGCTGCCAGCACAGGCAAGCTGGACTGCTGGGCATTCCTTCCTGCACCCAGGGGGCCCAGCAGGCACCCTGCTGCCGGGTTCTGCCCTCTGGAATACACACACACAGAGCAAAAAGGCATTTTCTAGTACATAGACATCAATATCTGAGTACCAAATCACATCTCACAAAGCCTAAAACAAGTGATTTTGACTGACAGGCAGCTTCACTAATAAACAACAAACTCACACGAGGCTTGGAAAAAAATTGAGGTTTGCTCTGCACCACACATCCAAGCCTGATATTCCACAGCCAAGGCAGTCCTGAACTCTCCAAACTCTATCTGGGCACAACAACACCCTGGGGCAGCAAGTTACAGGGGCTAATTTCACACTGAAGGCAAACATTTTGGTCACCAAAACCCCTGGAAGATAAATACACATAGCTAGGACCTTTTGCAAAAATCACCCAGGACATTTCTGAGAGTGGTGAGGAGCAGCTAGAAGACAGAAAGCAAACAGGTGAAAAACTTTTATTTGAAAGATTACAGAGCCTCTGTTTGGCTTGGCTGTTAGGTGGATTTTTATGGAGCAGACCACCTCAGGTTACCACACTGTCTAAGCTGGCATGACTCAGAGGAATCTGGTGAGAAACCTTGGAGACAGAACACAATGTCCTTTTCTCCAGGACATTAGTAAAAGCCAACAAAATTAGAATACAATAATTTCTTTTGGGATTATCATCTCTGTCCTTATGCACTTAAATAGACCAAGTATTTTCCTCAGATTATACTTTTACACCAGTGCTGTCCAATGGCTGAGGTTTTACTAGCTTCAAAATTAATTATTTTGAAATTACCAGCTCACACATTTGTATGCTCCTTTTCAGGGCATACAAATCCCAAGATGCAGCTGTACAAGTTCATTATTTTTTACTGAGAGTGGCAGAAATGTTAACGCAGATGTCCTTTTCCACTTGAGGAAGCATGAGTAGAACAAATTCATTGTTTGTCTGTTGGCTTGTACTTGGCAAAGACAAACATTTTCATGTGCTGCATGGACACTGGAGCAGCTGAAGGCAAAAGGCTCAGTAGGAACAGAGAAACTGAGGCACACTTGAATCAGCAGAGGAAACCTGCAGCAGAAGTGCCAGAATCAGTGTAGACCCCACCAATGGAATCCCTTGGGCATGGATATCCATACTGCACCTTTCCAATATTCCCAAGCTCAATGCCAGACCAGGAATGATGTAGTACTCTCCAGGAACAACTGAGGGTCAGAACTGCATCCTCCTTGCCAAAGGGTCTCCCCTTTGCAGCCATGTCCCTGTTGAAACCTGTTATCCCAGGATACACTTGCACTTCCCTTGTTGTTCCTCCATCTCTCTTATGCCCCAACAGCTTTTTTTGGCCACTTTTTTGTTTCTCCCAACATGTAGATTTGGGAAGGGGCTTAATTCACCTGCTCCTATCACTCTTCCATCTTCCCATCCTGCCTTTCTCTCATGCACACATCTTACTCTTTGTTACACAACACCACCTGTAATTACACTGTTCTTTTTCTGGCCTTTCTCTACTTCCACTGCATTTTACTGTTATTTATCAAGAGAAATCCTTGTGCCTAAGAAAGTGCTTTGGGAGAAAAGATTGAACTCTGCTCGTTTCCTCTCTCCTGTCTCTTCCTACCAGCTTGCTCTTGGCACAAGTGTCATTTGAGAAAATGTTCCCCTGACTGAAATTCAAAAGGTCTCAGTTTTCCTCTTTACAGTGGAACACAACTGCTGACATTTTTCAACTTTTCCCTTCTCAACTTTCTTGGGAAATTGCAAAACAATTGCAATTTTTTCAAGCAAAGATAGAGACCTTCAAGAACACATTGCTCTGGAGGTACTGTTGTTCTCCAAAGGGAAAGCAGAACATTACCTTGCCTTTGGAAAACCTGAACAGAGGTGAATTAAGCTTAGCAAGAGCCTGAAATGGCACCTAAAGGCCTCCCACTGCTTCTGCTAAATCAGTCCGATTCCAGGGCTGTTTTAAAACACATTTCCTGCAGTGCCAATGCCACTAATTATAACTAATTCCAGAAAAAAAGTGTAGAGAAGATTCAACACCTGAGCCTTAAGTGCAGGTTGCACAGAGGCATCTAAATAAGCTTAGAGAGCAGAGATTCCTGCCAGGAAACAAGATTAACCAAGGAACCACAGGACATGGTGCACACTTGAGGTAAAGCATGGGGGCAAGTAAGAACTGTACACCCCACAACATTCCCATTGATCCAAGGCTTTCAAGGGAAAGAAAGGGGCTAGAAAAAGTCCTTTGGGTTAGATACCACCTACATATGGCCAAAATCAGGGGAGGATTCCCTTAGAAGATTTCCACCATCTTGCAGAACAAAGGTGCTGAGACATTTTATTGTGGATGTGTTGCAGCAGGTAACTTGCTGTGCTGCACCCCACTGGAATTATATCACTCTCTTCTTCCAGCACAGCATTAAACCTCCATGTCCCAGCACTTACCTTGTCCCTGTTCCTCAGAGCCAGTGGCACTTCACAGACCTCACCAGGGCTGGAGTTGTGAAACATCACCTCTGGTGGGCACGGCTGAGGTGAGCTGTGATCCAGGGCAACTGCTGGAACTGGAGAGGCCAGAGAGAGCAGGGAGAGGTTCAGGTGCTGGGAGGAAGATTCTGCACTGATCCCCAGGGAAGTACAAACTCTGGGTGAGTACATCTGCCCAGCCCACACTGGGGAAACAGTGGCTCTTCCACCTCTGCCCTGGGCTGATCAAAAGCTGCTGGACCACACTGAGCAGGCTCAAGCCAAGCTGTTCTTTTGGCAGGTGTTTCTCCAGGTTTCCTTCTCCAAAATCCCTGGCAGCACTTACCTCTAGCAGAGCCATGTGCTAATGGGGTTGCAGAGATCCAGGGCACTGACTGGCAGAGCCCTGGGTACTCCTAGAGCAAGTGAAACCCCAGAACTTACATCAGACTCCATGGGAAACAATTTTGGGATGACCTTTACTCTGAGACAGAGTCCCACACAAGTCCAAATACTTGTTTTTATGTGTGTATGTGACATGAGTAAGAAAAGAACCATACCAGAGGAGATAAGGGCAAAAAGAAAGTAATACAGCACTTAGGAAAAAGACAAATGAGATGAATGTTGGATGGGGATAAGGCTCAGCTCTTTTCTCAGCAGTTCTGGGCAACTTGAGTAAGACTGGAGTTGGTATCTCCTTTTTCCATGAGCTTAAAATGGCTGCTTTCTTGTAATTTATTACTGGTGTCATATTTAATACCATTGCAGAGGCATGGAGCAGAGACATTGACAAAACCTCACTGTTTTGCCTCCCCTCTCCAGCTGCACTGTTCCCACTCAAAACACACAGGCAGGTCGCCACAGGGTCACAAGTGGCTGAAGTGAGGAGCTGCAGCACACTGCCAGCTCTTTGTGCATCTGTGTGAGGCATTCCCAGCCCCCTGTGCTATCCAGGGCAATCCTTAACCAGCTTGTTACAGCTGTCTTGCTGATAATTTCAACAGCCTATCTCAACCAGGACTGTGCTTTAAGCTGAGCAGCCCTCTAAGGAAAGCAGCCTTAAACACCCACCTCAGCAAACAGTGATCCAGATAAAGCACATCCACTCCCCTCTGCCCAGGGTGAGTTCCCTGTACATCTGGCAGTCTGCAAACTCTAACACCCCATCAGTGTCCTACACATTGTTCCTGAAGCTTTAATGCAATTAGTTTTGTTAGATCAGGGGTAATCACCACAGGCCCTCAAGCCTTCAAAGGCCAACGCTGCCACTGTGGATGGAACCCTTTAGCCCTAAGCATTTGACAGTGACCACACCAAAGCAAGAGGTGGCTATTTCAGCAGAAGAATGGAGAATGACAATCTCATTCCCTTGTGTCCTCCCCCAGCCTTCTCTCATTAGGGATGACAGTTACACCAGCTTCAGCAGAGGTTATTTGTGTTGACCTAGCACAAATCAGGACTCCAAAGTCTCACAGGGAAAAATGCTTTGCCTTTCCCCCAGCAGAAGGAACCACCATCACCAGCAGTTTGAAATTACAGCAGGACCTGGACACTGAGGTACTTCAGTGAGCTGGAGGGAAGCCTGTCACAAGCACACACCCTTTTCAAATGTCACATCAAACAGCAAGGAAAAGGGCAGGGAAAGGCTACCTTGTGATAGAGGTCTCGCTCTTGTCTTGAAGCTGGACAACCTGGGGCAGATTCATCTCCTGAGTGCTGGCTGGCCTCTGCTTGATGGTGAGAGACATCTCCGTCTGGAAGGCAGAGGGAGTCAGCTGAAAGGCAAAAAAAAAAGGCAAGAGGCTCAGAAATACACTTGTTCAAAAAGGCTTTTCTTGTTCAAGTTCCAGTGATGAATAATTTGTGATCACAGCCACTAGGACAGTTCTGGAAGCCCTGGAAGTTACCTGCTGAAATATTTAACATCAGTAAATTAATGATATAGAGCAGAATGCACATGCTGTAGCCACGTGGCTCTGTCCCATTAGCTTCTCTGTGATTTGATGTGACATGTATGGGGATTTCTGCTCTTTGGGCATTTGTTTCCTCTTTAGTTTCACTGGATTGAGCTGGTGACCTCTGCAGAGACTGGGGAGGAGTTATCAGAACTCCCCTAACTCCATCCTTGCACATCACTCACAACCCCCATGTGGAGATGTCACTGCTGGGTGAGTCGAGGGAGGCAAGAACGCAGCGCTGTGCCAAGACTGAAGTGCTCAGGAATGGCTCCAAGCTTCAGTGCTCTCTTCTTAATTAGCACTTGTTTTCTCTGTCTGGCCTCACAGACCCCTCCCCAGGAGAACACAGAGATCTCCTTGACAGAGTCCCAGCACCAGAACATCTCCAGTCAAATGAGCTCCAGTCAGCAAAGGGACGTTTGTGGCTGGGGAGGAGGAATTGCCCTGACTCCACTGCTGGGCTGGATCTGTGCTCCACACAGGAGATGGGACAGAGCAGCTGGTTTGGAACCTGTTCTAGCTGGGACCAGCCGTGTCTCTCGAAGCTCCAGGCAGAGTTTGAGCTCCCTCCACATGCCAGGTGCCCAAGGGCAGGTTGGTGAGAGCAGCACAGGTGAGTGTCCAACCTGACAGAAGGAATTACTGCCACACAGAGGGGATGGAAAGCAGCACACACATGGCTTCAGCTGCACATTGGTTTAGCTTGGCTCTAGTCTCTTCAGTGGCTTCATTGCCCTTGTCTGGACTCGCTCCAGCACCTCAACATCTTACCTGAATGAGGAGCCCAGAATTGGACACAGGACTCTCACCTGTTGAGCAGTGCAAATGGATTTGATGTGATAATTTCACCAAACTCAAGTGGAGCATTCACTGGGTACCTTTGAACATGCAGATGAAGATGGGCACTTCTCTGACTTACCAGTGTCTATGTGGTAAGTAGTAGAGTGGCAACAAACTCTGCTGGGTCACTGAGGAGACCTACTCAGAAGTTTCTTTAACACTGGTGTCTCCAGGCTGTGGTATTCTTCAGAACTGGAGAACACAAGGCCTCCCCACCTTGTTTCCTATGGACCACAGAGACACACCAGAGCCTGCTGGCATTTCTCATCTTTCTCTCTGCCCCTCTATCCCATGACTATTGGAAACCTATTTACTGTAATCATGAACCAAATCCTTATTAATATCCAAGCTGTCTTTAATAACTCTTCAGAATATTCTCAGGAATTCAATTCCCACCAAAATAATCTTCTTTTTGTGAGTACAGTAGGAAAGCAAACATCACTTGGCTGCTTAATTTTTCAAGAGCAGCTGACCTGATGTGACTTTGAGTCTGGCCCTCCTAAGGACTCAGTGTTATGAACAATCTCAAACCCAGGGACACTGCTGCCCCAAGTGCAGACAAAATCAGGGCACTTTCCTGCATTGCAAACCAAGTGTCCACCCTTTCTGCAAGAATGTTTCTGCTGATGTTTCTAACTAATGGAGCAGAGAGTTCAAGACTCTGATTAAGAACTATAGTTTCTCAAGGCTAATTTGGTTAAGTTACAAAAATTATCCAACAAATATGACTCCTTCCAGGCGTGAAATTACCACACTGCCCAAGAGCATTTCTCCATGGAGAATGAGGGTCCTAATTTTCATTTAGTAACCAAGGCTTCCAAATTCAAGGCTGCCTATAGGCATTAGAAGTTGTAACAGCATAAATAAAAACATGAAACCATTAAAGGAACATGAGCAATTAGTTCAAACAGAAAATGCAACATATGGAAAAGCAGGGCCACTTCAGACTTTATCCTAGTGGCAGTTCTTCTCTAGCATCCTTATCTCACAAGAAGCACAGGTAAACAGGGTCACTCCTTTTCCAAACACCAGCCTGACAACCACCTCTCTTTGTCTGTGTCACACAAAGTGGGTGTACAAGAAAGGGCAAGAAGAAAAGAAAACCCCAGAAAGCTGGTTTCAAACACTGACAAGACTCAAACATGGACAGCATTTACTAAGCACTGTGGGCCAGAAATAATGTCCCCTCCCTTTCTAGCAAACTGGACCACGGAACAGATGTATTTGCCCACTTCTTATTTTCAGAGACTTGGGAGACCATTCCTAAACTAAAATTATTTGCATCTTGATTATAAGTAAAATCTCTGATTATAATCTCTCCTGCTTCCTTCTGTTCACTTTTTTTTTTTTTTTGTGGACTTGCTTTATACAACAAGATATTGTCTACACAAAGATGACCATTTCCTTTCCCTCAAGTTTTATCCACATCCACAAGCAACACAGTAATTCCATTCCTTTCTTCTCAAAGCAGTTACAGATTTATATACATAATCCACAAGGCCACTGTTTCCTTTTGTTCTTACATGAAACATGAGAACACAGCACTGTTGTATGGACACCAGGACATGCTGCAGCAAGAACTAGAATTTAAACCTGGAAATAACTATTTTTCAAGAGAGAAATCTAATAATACATTAATCTGGATTTCAGTGATTTATTACTGCGTCTTGAGAATAACTGGATTATTTGTTCCAATTTTCTAAATGCAATTTCATTTCACTTGAAATGAAGCCTGTCCATCATGCCCACAATGCTCATTTCCAGATAGTTTCTACTCTCCACACCCCCATCCCTGTCTAGCAGCTTCCCCTGCCCTCTAGCCCTGGAGAGAAACTCTTTCCTACCCCATAATTCCACTTCCCTAAAGCCTCCACAGATCAGCCTCCCAGACCTGGGGAACAGAAGCAGAACTAAGAAATCAGCCTGATCTCCCTGCAGGGATAGAATGAAACACCAACCACAGCACAGCACAGCCCCAGCCCATCAGCCCTGTCCCATGAGGGGAGGTCTCCATGTTCCCACCTCAGAAGCTCTGTGATACTCAGCAGGATTTAATTAAGTTCCTGGTCTAAGGGTAAGCCTGGTTAGGTAGATGGGTTATAAAATTGCTGTGCAGCTTGCAGTGATGGGGGGGACTTCTTGCTTAGCTGTAGATGCTGGAATAAAGGGGGAATTGAGGAGGCTGAATCTGGGATGTCCTTGGTGATCTTCAGCTTGGCACCCTGTTCTGACAGATCTGGACTTTCTGAGATGTGTCAGGAATTGTATCCCAGCCCTGGGCATATTTCTTCATTGCTTTTCTAGGTGGCACAGCTGTCCTGGCACAGCTGGTTCCTGTGACTGCAACAGTATTCCAAAGTGCACCTGAGAGTGGCATTTGGTAATGCTCCACAAGCTTCAGGTAAATTAATTTTAGACACTGCAGACAAGCCCGTCATGTCTTTGCTTAAGGATTAAAGAAGAACTTTCTACATTGAATTTCAGAGCAAGAATTTAATTTATATTTTGCTCACCCAGGGAGGACCCTGATCATAGCAATGCAAAGGACAGCAGGCAAATCTCTGTGATGCCACAACTTTGGCAATGCCTTTGGGGGTGTCCTTTGGTGTTGCACCCAGTAAATACCCTCTGATGAGCTTGTTCCAATTAATCAAGCACACATTTACACACACAGCAGCCAAGGACACCAAACTGACAAGAGCATCTCTGCTGTCAGGTAGCTTCATGCATTTTTGGCACAACAGATGCTACAAACAAAAGCTTCTCAGGAGACTCTAGGCCACAGGCAAACCCAGTCCTCACATCTGCTTGGCAGGGAACAAGGAACCCTCAATTTGGAAACCAACATTAATTATTTAGGAATTTACAATCAAATCAGGGTGGATCCGAGCTCTGAAAAATAACTGGCTCTGCAGCTAGCCAGCCTGTGGAGACTCACTCCAAAACATCTCCTGGACAATGTCCAGTGTAAGCAAAGCTCAGTGTAAATTGGAGAATTGGGGCAAAGAAACCTCGGCCTGTGACACCCCTGTGCACTCAAGACTCCAAGACAGAAGTGCAAGCAAAGGAAGCTGAATGGTGGGGAACTCTTCCTGGCTCAGAAGGCAGAGCTTAGAGACAGATGTCAAGGTGAGGCCCACCAGACCTCCTATACCTGGTCTGAGATGCACTCACAGGGCTGCTGCCTCCTTGTGCTCCTTCCCACAGCTCCAGCACCTTAGAACCAGCCTTAGAGGATCTCACCTGCTCAGCACAGGAGTGAATTCTGCTGCAGGCAAAGAGCACAGCTGGAGACAGATTTCATGCTCAGAGAACTTGTCAGAGAAGCCTCAGGTGCACAGCAAAGGAAACTGCTGGCTGGAAAGGATATCCATGGAATTGCATGGTAGAAATTATATGAAACCTATATAAGGCTGGCAAGCACCTCAGCATCCAGTGCCAAACCTGATGCTGGTACCTCAGCCCACTCTCAAACTCAACAACCCTGCTCTCACACTCAGCTGTGTCCCTGCTACTGAACTCACCATGTATTTTTCCAGCTCAAACCTTCCTCCCCTGCCTGGCAGATGGAGGGGGCCCAAGCCATCCGTTGGTCCAGCTTGTCAGCCCAGACAATGTCATTTCTACATCTCCTAGACTGCTGCAAGGAGAATGCAAGTGAGAAAAACCTGATCTGCAGGCTGGCACCTTGAATGCTCGAGAGCTAAGGAAAAGCCTTGGCTGGGGAGCTCTGCTCCCTGGATGACAAAGTCTTTTAGCTAATGACTATTTAATGTGCAATGCATAAGCAGTCTCTGGAGGGAAGAAAAAAAAAGGACAAGAACCATCTTTAAAGTGAAGGAAAGATTTGTTTCATGCTGTGGGTTCACAGCTACTACTGAGCCTCCTTGCTCCAGGCAAGGCAGAAAAAAAGGGTCTGTACAGGACCTGCACCCTGCTCCCAGCTGAGTGGCTTTGACCATGACCTGTACTGGATAAATAAAAGCACCTTCACCTCTTCCCTTTAGGGCAGCAATGATAACTTCTGAACTCTGCCTGGCTCATGAACCATCTCCTCCATTCTGCTGACATGCAGTGATTGGTTAATGCACCTTTCAGCTGCATCCCCAGGATGGAACAGGGGACATTCCCAGCATCCCCAAAACCCATCCTCTCCCTTTCTGAACCATCCCTTCACTTCTGCAGCATCAAGTCTCAGTGCACAGCACAGGCTGCACAATGCTCCCATCCTGACCAGCTGCTTCACCTGCCAGGACATGGAGAGGCTGGGCATTGGCTGAGGTCTTGAAATGCTTCTGTAAACCTCAATCCTAACCAAGATGGTTTAATCTCAGACTTTTAAAGCTTCTCAATGACAGTGAATATGTGTTCATGCCCAGTTCTCACAAAGGAGTTTCAGTCTCTGGAAGACCATGGATATTAACTCATTTCAGAGACACCAAACTGGAGCCAGCCAAAAGCAGAAGCAGGAATACAATGGCTGAGCCTGACCTTGGCTGGCTCCAGCCTCATACCTGCTTCTCCAGCACACACACAGTACTGGCTGCCAGAAAAGTAAATATTCTGTGTTTACTGGATTGCTGCTCTAATACTAAAGCACTGGGTGTAACCCCAAGGCGTTACAGAACAAGCTTTAACTTCACTGATTATTTTCTAGCCTTCAGGTATGAGGCACGTCTGGAGAACCTATGAGTAATTTGCACCCCCTGGACCAGCCTAGACTTTTTATTTTCCCTTACTACATACAGGAGTCTCCACTCAGCTCTGCTCCAAAGCTCTCCCTCCTGGTGCCAGACAGCCTGGGTGCCAAAAGCCACTGTCCCTCCAGAGAAAGGACACAGCCACCATCACTCCAGCACAGGGGTGGTCACCAGCATCCTCCACTTTCCCCACTCTGCAGGGCCACACTCACACATTGGATGCCCTCAGCCAGCCAGGCTGTGGCTCTCCTTCAGGGGCAGCAGGGCTTCTCAGCCAGCCCCAACACCACCATGGCAACAACAGGGATGTCGACAGGGCAGGAGGCAGTGGGGGTTTCCAGAGACCACAGCAGCCTTGACAGCAGTGGGACAAAGGAATGCTCAGCACCCATCTGGGGCTGCTGTGGTGCCCCTGCCCCAGGGTAGCAGAAGCCAGCTGCACTTCCCCACATCTGCTGGGATACTGGCGATGCCTGGCTGGCAGGGCCTTGTCTCAAACAGTAACAGCAGCTCAGGGACAGCACACAATGAACACAGCAAACACATGCTGGAACTGCCTCCAACACACCTGCAAGAACTGCAGCACATCCCAAGGAAGCAGAGAGGGGACACACTTGCCCACAGCCCAGCACAAAAGCAAGCCAGGCACCTCAGCATTTCAGAAAAGCTACCCTTACCCATCCTTGCAGGGTATGATCAAACCAGGCTCCAAACTCTGCTCTCTTTACTGGCACAGGTAACTGTTAGTTTGTGCAGGAAGCTGAAATCCTTCCTCCATCCCCTGGGAAAAGCTCTTTGCATAGCTCTTCTCCTCCTGCAGAAGCAAATGAGCATACAGCCAAGGGCAACAGGCAGGCACGTTGCATTGTTAACCTCTCCTTTGCTGCAGTGCTGGGAGGACACAGATTCAGCATCCCCAAAAAACCCAACTGCAGGTTCTGAGATGAGACCTCACAGCACAGGCACACCCTGGCTGCTGAGCACCAAAACCAGAGACCCTGGGGAGTTGCAAGAGGCACATCAGGAACATCTCTCCTGTCATCACTGCTGCACTCACCAGACCAGACCAGTTAACAGAGTTAACTGGGCACTTGTGGTGACTTGCAGAGTACACAAAGCTGCTGCAAAGGCTGCAATGAGGATCCAGAGAGAAGAGGAAAGTGCAGGAACACAGCTCACAGGATGGAAGAGGTGCAGATGGGAACCCTCCCTACCTCCATTTTAACCCATGAAGTGCTTACTTCAAGAAAGGACTGACTGCAATGCTCAATCACTTTAGTTATCAAAATATTTACATTCTCTACTGAATAACTGCACTGAGATCACTTACCCAGTGGCAACCTTAAGAAGGTCCAGTCATGAAGCTCTAAAGAAGCAGCCCACAGCTCTCTTTGTTCCAAACAGGGTTTATCTTAATTTTCTTCTGAGAAAAAAGGAAAATTATGTTGGATCCTTTTAGCCAAATTTCCCCTGCTTTCCTCTGAACAGTACAATCACTCATTGCAAGGGAGAACATAGATTTACTTTTTTGGTAGCAGAGACCTCAACACACAGCCTTGGGTTTATTTTCTCCCTTTTTATTCCCATGCTGGGAATCAATTTGTTAGTTTGTGCAGGGAGCTGAAATAATTTTTCCTCATTTTTTACTTAATTTGCATCTCACTTTCAAACCCCGACATGCTTCTGTAGTCTTTTCTAAATCAAGACATTATTTCAAATTCCTGCCTTTTAGAGACCCTGACATTAGCTGTGCACTTAACTAATTTGAAAATAATAGATTGTATTATCTTCACTGCCTCTTAAAAGAAAGCAAAATCCTTGACCCCAACAAGTGTAATGCCTTCTACATTTTCTTTTTCTTCAGTTCTATGAAACCATTTAATCCAGCCAGCTGTCTTTATGTCAATGCAAAAGAAAATTTACAAGCCTCCAGAAGTTAATCGCAGTTCAAGGGGAATGTCTGACATGGAGGTTAGGAAAGGCAGTAACCAAGGCTGTGCCTGCCAGGAGACAGTGCCTTGGAAAGATGGGTGAGCTTTGGATGGAGGCTCAGGCCCGACTCAGCAAGGTACTGGCACAGGAGCTCAGCCTCAACAGAAAAAAACAAAAAGGACAGATGTCAAGGGTGACCATATCTGTGCAGTTACAAGATGATTCAAAAATTGTTCCTGGGACTGCCACTACCTAAATCTCAACTGCCTTGGCATCCTGTTTCCTGGCAACTAAAAACCACCTGAGACCCTGTGATACTGAGGACAGAAACATGCAGCAGTGTCGGAATCTGTGGTATTGATGATTCCCAGATTGTAGAAAGTCTCTGTCTTTCTGCCCCGTTGCCAAAGCAGAAGCCATAATTTGTCTGTGCTGGTTTCAAGGTTGTTTATTCTGTTTATCTCTAACATGTTCTGCTGCCCTGCCGCAGCTCTGTCCTGCAGGGCAGCGTGTGGGGCTCTGCCCTCAGTGGGATGGTACAAACATTAAATACCAGAAACTACCTGTGCTGGATTTACAATAACGTGCCAATATCTGTCACCTACGTTGAACAGTGTGTCCCCAGCCTAAACCAACAGAAAAATGCCAACACTGCAGTGAAACATGGAGGGCATGGAGAAGGAGGAAAAGGACGGGACACACCCAATTTCCTCCATCTTGTCCCCTCTGAACCCCTAATCTAGAAACCTAAAATTTTACTTTTGCACCCGTGCCACACTTAGTTATTACTCATATCAAACACTCAGAGCTCGTAATTGATCCTGTAAGATTGAAAACTCTTTTCCATGGCCAGAGATCAGAGACAGTGTCTCTTGGGGCTCTGTCCAGGGGGGTTCCTGACCCCCTGCCAGGGTCCCAGGCAATCCAGGGCAGCCAGAGGGAAGCCCTGGATTCCCACACAGCAGCAGCAGCATCACCCTGTAGGACCAGGGTTGGGTGGTGTTTCCCAGTGACAGAGGCAGGGCAGGGCAGTGTCTCCTCCCTCACACCCAGCTCTTCTCTGCCAGCAGGGTCCTGCCAGGGCATTCTCCATCCCACCCAGCACCACGGGGCACCCCAGGCTGGGAGCACCAGCCAAGACACAGAACAGCCTGCGAGCCCAAGCCTGCAGCTCTCTGGAAATGCACATCCCACCCCACCAAAACCATGGCCACACCTCAGAACCCAGCACGATCACGCCACAGTCAGCCCCAAGGACCACTCCAAATGCCACAGACAGGCCTTCCCTCCAGCTTCTCCAGGCTAAGGAAAATCTGTGCTTAACCAGATCCACAGCAGCTTGGCTGGCACTTGGAGCTTCTGGCATCACCTGGCAGCTCCGTTTGCTGTCGGATGGGTCTCCTCGGCTCCTGGCTCCACAGCAAGTCGTTCATGCCCAGCCCAGCAGGTCCAGGTCCTCTGCAGGGCACTTCCAAACACCAACAGCTGGCTCTGTGATGGGAAGAAAGGGACAGAAAGATGAGAAAACACAACAGTTGTAAGTGGGACACAGGGAAGGGACAAATGTATCCCGTGACATGCATTTCAGCCTGAACCCACAGGAGCACCTGGCATGATTAGAGCAGCTACAAAGCACCAGGCTGTTCAGGAGCAGCGCTGTGAAAGGAGTAGCTTGGTTTATTTATCACTTGAGAAGCACCAAAGGAACAAGCTGCTGTCCTTGCTGCTGCCAGCCAGCTGGTGCAGCTCCCTGCAGCACACAGGGCTGTGCTGAGAGCTGCTGGGGCAGTCTGCAGGCACCAGCACTGCTGGGCAAGGAACTGACCAACTGAAGCAGGCACCAAGAAGAGAAATCAAAGCCTAACATGGCTTTTCTTGCACTGGGCAGTTGCCTTCACAGGTTCAGTACAACCACACGACAATTACAATTGAACTCAAACAAAATCCCAAAGCTCTTGGCTAGATTGCTCAAGGAGGGGCTACTGTATTGCCTGATTGTATTTGTATCCAAATGTCTTCTGCTTTAAATATGGGGAGTTTTGCTAAAAAACAGCCATACAGAAGCCATTCTGGGCTGGAACATGAGCCAGGGCTTTCTGATTTTTCAACAAGGCACCTGCTACCTCCCCTAGAAGAGCCTCTGCTCTCAGAGGTACTGTCAGACTCTACAGCTGTTATCTGATTGAGGTCTCCATGCTGGCTCCCATCATGTCATATATTGGCAGTGGGAGCAGAGGGACAGATTGTAATTTTCCACAAAGAGGTTGTCCAAGTTGAACTGTTAAACAAGCTTCTTCCTTTGAACCTCTTCCCATCCTTCACACATCCCAAGAACCACCACAAATAAAGAGACAGCAATAAAACCAGCCCCAAAAATGTCCTGAGATTCTCCTTGAGGGGAAACATCTCCACTCATGAAATATCAGCTTTGTAATAAACATATCACCTCAAAAGCAGAGGTGAAAACCCTTCAAAACATAAAGCAGAAGCAGAGTTACTCATGAAATTGGAGTGGTTGATTGAAAAACCTGGTCAACTGGGCCTTTGTAGAAAACACCAAGGGCCTGAAAGAGCAAACATGTCCAGCCACTGATGCCATTTAAAACAACTGAGGAATTAGAAGACAGAGAGTAGCCACATTTTAAAAATTCAAATAAATAAAGAATACAAGGTTAAAATACAGCCACCTGAGTGGAGGCAGGAACAGCCAGGTTTAGATCTTGGTGACCATCAGCATAAGCATCTCTGAGTTCCAAGGCTGAGCTGCAGGACATACCCACCTGATTGGAGCTGTCAGCCTCACTGCAGAGTTTTGGTTTCCCATTATAGGAACAGCTCAAGAGGGTGCAGGTTTGATTTTGGCAGCATCTCTCTGCCAAGGATGAAAGCAAGGACCTGAGTACCCCATTTGTGACTTCCTCTCACATTGAAAAGTCTTCCTAGTGCACTCTGGCACCTGATCTCATTAAAAAGGAAGAGAGGGAACAGATGGAAACATAAAAAGAAACTGTCAGCTGCCAGCCACTGCTCCCATCCTGTCTCCATCTCTCTCCCCACTGCAGCAGGAACACAACCAGCAGCTCTTGCAAGGACAAGGCCAGCAGGAGACAAGGAGGATTTCAGGTGAGAAATAAACAGTAGGAATAGATGAAATCTTGGTAAAAAAGAGCTCCTGTTGTCAGGAAAGGCAACACTTGAGAACTATGCCATGTCCAGGAATCCTCCTGTCCTTGCAAACAGCAGGGAGTGGTGTGCTGGCTGAAACAACCACCACCACGCCTGAATCCTTTCCAGCATGCCTCTACCCCCAGGCACAGCAAACCCAGGACTCCCCAGTGGGGCCTGTAGGAATCTCTCTTTCCTCTTTCCCAGCCTGTAGTTCAGGTATTGAAGGATTCCAGGAAGCCTCAGCAGACCCACGGGATGTCCTATAAAACCAAGAGCATAAGAGAAGGGACACAGAGCCACCTCCCTTCTGTTCAAGGTGTTTGTTGCACCCTGTCCCTGAGCCACCACAGAGACAGCCCTGCAACTTCCCCCCTCAAAGCAGCACAGGGACTCCCAGGGCAAGCAGGCTACAGAGAGGAAACCTTCCCCATTTCCCTCACCACCCCCAAACATTTTCCTCTTTTCCCAGAGAGAAAAAATAAATTTCCCCTCCCCATGCCAGAGGCAGCACATGAGGTGGACCCTAGATGACATTGAAGGTCACAAATTTGCACTCATCTAATTACAGCTCTGCCAGGTGTCAGGCAAAGGGACCAATCTCACAGAAGCTCCACTTTCCATATTTACCAAGGAAAAGGTAAAGTCACAAGGAAGCAAAAAACTTGCATTCATCCCATTGCTGGGAATGCCATAAGGAGACTGATCTGTCCTCTCTCTGTAATTAGTCTAATTTGAAAGCAGCCCAGTGGTCTCAGCAACATATAAAATCAGCTTTCTTAGTAGAAAACAGCATCTTTCACCAGACTAACTTGATGGGAACAAAATGTGCTACTGACAAACCTTATCTTGTCCATATCCTTGAGCATTGCTGGCTATATCAACCTACCTTTAAAATAAGTGCCTGCAGCAGTCCTGAAAGGCAGAGAAAGCATCATCTCAGCCTTGTGGCAGAACTGTGATGCCAATGATACTACACAGGAAAATTAAAGTGAAAATTTATTATTCATCAGCTTTTCTCCAGCAACTACTACAAGCAGGGTCTTGTCCTACAGAAGGCACAAGGTGTCGTTTCATGGAGCAAACTCCATGTTTGCTGTGGGCTTAGATGTCCAGCATGTCTGCAGTCAAATTACAGCACCTGCCTCCTGCCTCAGCCACCCACCTAAAAACCTTGAAGAGAATTGGAAAGGCATGGACCATCCAGCTGGTGCCTTCAGCCCTCAGCATCCTCCATCACTAAAAAAATCAGGAGAGGGCAAGTAAAAATTATGCCCAGACACCAGGAACCTCTAGAGGCATCCATCAGCAGAACTGAGACACTAATATGTGCTGCTTCCATCTTTTTAATTAGGAACTGGATACTATTTTCTCTCAGACAAGTTCACAAGGACTTGCTGGGTTGAACACAAAAAGATGGCTTTAGTTTAATTTTCCTATAACTACAAGACAGAGATTTCCAAACCTCTTTGGAAACTATTTTTTTTTCCTGGCTGGTCTTTCCAGCACTGAGAACTCCTTTAACAAATGATATCTCCATATAGAAACGTCTGGGATTAACCAGGCCGGATACATCAAACCATCACAAGGAATAGCTGGGCTGCACAGGGAGCTATGAATCTCTTTATGGAGCAGACCCAGGAATCAGCTCAGCAATGAGGCTGGTTGAGAAGCCAGTTTGTTAAATAACACTTCTCCAGGAGCAAAAGGAGCAAGAGCTTTGCCAGTTGACTGGGGAAGGCTCCAGCTGCTAACAGAACACGGCTCCCTTCTCTGCTGCTCTGAGAGCCCTCCCTCCCCACACAGAGGCAGCAGATCAGACAGCAAATCTCCCCTCAGAAAGGACATTTGAGGCTGTAATGGCACCTTCAGTCCCTTGGCTTTGCTCCTCTCCACTGCTCAGCAAGCTTTTCTGCCTCACTGGACACACTGGTCCCTGCCCGCCCTCAGCTCGAGAGGGGACCCTGGGGAGATCAGACCAGCCCCTCCACACTTTCAAGCTCACTGGGCTGCATCTCTGTGCAGTCCTCAAACCCTGCACATAAGGGCAGCCTATTTTTTCAGTCTCACTGGCAGACTGAGCTGAAAAGCAGTTGAGGAGGAACATTCACTTGGGAAAGCAGGATTTCTCCTTCCCAGCAAGTAGCATTTGCAGGGCAGCAGACAAACTGGCTGACATTTGCAGAGAGCTCTGAAGGCACATAACCCTCTGGAAATGTGCATCATCAGTCCTGCTATTCTTGGCCCACTAAGCTTGTTTGTCTCCCACAAAAGCTGTGAGAGAGCACAACTCTTGCACACGTGCTGTCTCCCTGGGAACTAATCCTACGTTTGTCCTCTTTGACTTAAGTGTTCATTTGAGCCCACAACAAAATTTCAAGGCCTAGAAACACCTGGCATGAAGTGAAAACAAAGGTCAGGTATCAAGCATAATCTCTCCTGGGGATGTACACCCAACAAGAAACCCACTCTCACTATGCTCTTAAACCTGGTAAACAGCTGCTCTTTGAGACAGATGCAATTCAGGGAACTTCTCAGCACATCCCTCCCCAAGCCCTGTTTGGTCCCTTGGCAGGGCAGGGGTTGCTGCCAACATGGGCTTTCTGCCTTCCCAAATTCCCCCCTTGACACTCCCACTTGCCCCAAGTCTATGTACAAGTCCATCACAGCAACAGCAGTTGTGCTTCCAGTAAAATAAATTCATCTAGAAGAGAAAAGGCAGCTGGCATCTGCTCCCTGCCAGAGCCCACAGCAGACATTTCTACATGTTTTATAAGGCTCTTTTCACTCCCTTTCACTCCACATAAAGCAGACTGCACAGGTGATCAGTGGGATCAGGCACACAATCATGGAAAGATTTAGGTGGAAGAGACTTTGGATGTCTTTGGTCCAACCCCTCTGCACAAACCATAAAATTTCCGAGTTAAAACAGATTATAAAGGGAGGCACCCAGCAGGTATCTCCCAGGTTGGAGATTCCCCACCTCTCTGGCTCACAGAAGCCTTTACCTGCCTTTAAAGTTACCTGACACAGATTTGTCAGCTACAAAACAGGCTCCAAAAGATACCATGTGCCATGATCCTGTAGTCCTTGCTCTGTAAGTCAACCTCAGCATACAGCTTCAACGTCCTTGGCTCTTTGAAAAGAAGAAAAAGGCTCCTATAGCGGGTGTTGTTTGTTTTGAAGCAACCATGTGCTGAACCAAAATGCCAACTGTTTCATAGCATACAGCAGAAAGGCACTGAGGTTATCTGCCCTGTACATACAAGTGCCAGAAGATGGGTAACAGACCAAGAATCCCACGGAAA